CTAGTATTTCTCCCCTCACTCCCCTCAGCCATTCCCCTTGGTGTCGTGTTTGCTAAGGTGGCCTTCCAGTGGACAGAGGGATTCCTGGGAAGCAGGCAAAGGACTTCTTTCCCCTTCCACCTGTCCTGATTATTCCCATCTTCACCCCTATCTTATCCCCCACAGTAGGAGGTTGGCATGGAAATGAAGATGCCCTCCTAGGCTGAATGTTGCAGTCTTCCAAAATCCCTAGAAGCAGTGGTGATAAAAAATAAAAAATAAAGTCCTGTCCTTGAGAAGCTAATCACAGTGTTGTGACTGCCAGAGTTAGCCTTACCCATATCATACTTGAGTGTCCTAGGACAAGCAGTTTTTCATGCCCCTCTCTCTCACCCCAGTGTCTGAGAGCCACCATTAAAAACATCCTTGCATCATTGCTGAGATGAACAGCAGATTAGATGTAAATGAATAAGATCGTTAGATTCTAGCAGTAGGAAAGAGTTTTGGAATACTGGGACTAGGGAGGAGAGCAGGGGTGAGCTCAGAACAACAAGGGGAAAATGAGATAAATACCAATCCCGTAGTTTTTCCAGAAGCTGATTCTGATCACAGTGCCCCTAAAGAAGTGATCCTAAAAGAGGAAGATTGAAGTTAACAAGTTCTTTAACTCCATTCTTTCTTGTGCTGGGCCTGCTGGAGCTGTACCCACTACTGGATCACGCCTAGATACTAAAAAGAGCCAAGGAGAGACCCCCTGTCTTACTAAGGACCTGAAGTGTTTTCTTGAATAGACATCTTATGAGTCAGGCATGTGGAAATCCAGTGAGTTTGTACTGCAATCCAGTCATTCATGGCCACCTCCATCCTCCCCAGGGTTCTAAGAACATCTGGCAATGAGAGTAGAATGTGACTTGAAAAGTTGTGGGAAGTCCAGCACACCAACCTCTGTACTCTGCCTGACATCTGTGAACATTTCAAAGTATATCTCCTTCCAGATTCCACTGAACCCCACAACTGGAGTTTCTTGGGGTTCTACCTTTACACTGTCCTAAGTGATCTGTTATGAAATGTGAATATCCATGGAAGGGGTGCCATCTGAAGCAATGATTTAAGTATACCTCTTTTATTTAAGGGAATTTAGCTGCTCTCCTTTTTCTCTGACTGAAAATGGTGTTGTGGCAAAAGAAAGTCAATGTAGTTCTACTGAGCTGTACACTTTTTAAAATGGCTATGTGGGTAAATATTACATAATGTGTATTTTACTACAATTTTTAAAATGTATCTGAGGTATCTCCCTGTCTGCTCTGGCTGCACCCTCTCCAGAGGAAGAGGCACAGGCCACAGCTTTGACCATGACTCTGTCCTCTTTCAAAACATAGCAGATGGGGGACTGGTTGGGGCCACCTGGTCCCATGCTGTGAGGCCTAGCACTGAAAGAGGAGTTGGCTTAATCATATTATTTGTCTTCCTGGACAACCTATAGGTTATGTTAAGTAGGAACCAAAGGACTGAAAAGTGACTTCTCATCCAACATCTTCTCCCAATGCCATTTTTGATGGAAAGGTCAAGTTGATCTAGGCAGGCTATTGACCAATCTAATCTATTCATCTTTGGTGATCCTCAATCATACTCTCTTACCTTCACGGAACATTCTAGTTCACTCTTCTTCCTACCTCCTTTATGAAGCCCAATGCCTCTGATTCTTACCCTTCATTTTTTTCTCTCATGCTCACTGCCAATCCCTGTGGACTCTTGACTTCAAAAGTCTAGACCCCAGTCCTGGTAGACCATTGTAAATAAAGTGTTACTGTTCATACTTTTTTTTTAAAAGAGCATGATGTGACTGCAGGTAAAAGGAAGTAGAGTAGGTTGGTGAGACAGTTATGTAGTGTCCTAGTCAGCCAAGAATCTGAGAATGGGGGAGATAAGCTCGAAAATCTAGGAACCAGTGGCTATTAGCAATCCTCTTCTTGAGCATTAACTGTAGAAACTACATAGTGGAAAATTTTCTCTTCCTCCCACTACCCCCACCCAAATGCCAAGGGCACTCCTCCAAAAAGGGAAAGGAAAGCATAGATCTCGCACCTTCTATACCTGCTATACCTCTACTAGCCTTTTCCCATATATTATCTCACTTGATCCTCAAATCCCCACAGCTGCAGAGACTGGGGCCCCGAGAGGTTAAGCAGCTCACTCTGAGAAACAAAGCTTGTTAATTGGCAAAGCCTGAGCTGGACTCCAGTTCTCCTGATTTCTGGTCCTATGCTCGCGCCACATCATGGTGTATTTGTTTCAGCTGGCAGGCAAGATTGTTCGGAACGCAGCTCAGACCTTTTTGTTGTTGTGCAGATCTTGGGTTTATAAAAGCAATGGCAAATCGAAAAGGAGAAGATGGTAACTACAAACAAACAAAAGACCCCATTTGTATCCTTCAAGAAAAGTAAGATAGACAACACGGAATTGTGTCTATAATAGAAGAAAAGCTTTCATTTCTTTTTGCACTGTTGATGAACACTTCCAGACATTGAAACTCAAAACATCCCCTAGTTCATCTTTGTAGAAAGCCTCAAGTTAGCTTCATTATTATTTTGAAGTGAAGATCTGAACCTGAACTGAAACAGGACCTGGTTGTGCAGAGAGGACAAATAGACTGCTTGGTGGAGTGAAAAAAGAATCATTCTCATTTATTAGAATGTTTAACATCTTTAAAATCACATTAAAGACAAGGATAACATTTTCCCAATTTGGATAGTCAGCTATTGCTATTCAGGGATACATTATCAAAACTGGGGGTTGGCCAAGCACCTAGTTTTTCTTTCTTCTCCCTATCTTTTGCTAACCAAAATATGATCACTTCAATGCTGTTAACACCCCCACTGTCTGGTAGCAAGTTGAGTGTTCAGACTTCTGAAAAACTTCATTATCTGGGACACGGTTGAAAGTCTGAAAGTATTTGAAAAAAGCAACTGGGAAGTAAAGCAAATCATTCTTCCCAGCCCATTTCACTTTTCTCACAAGGAGGCTTCCATAGCTACTCTCGCTACATGTTCTTCCTGGGTAGCCTAAATCATCATAAAAAGGATAAAATGTTTTTAAAAACAGGAACATTTTCCATAGGATTTGTCTTTCACAGCTGGCACATTAATATATATTATGGACACTGTCCCAACTGCTCCCAGCTTCCTTTATTTTGGAAATATATTCTTTTAAATGTCTATGGGGAAATGGTACAAATGTATTTACAAAATTTCAACACCCGAAGCAGTGCTTATGCTTCATTATCAAAATAACTTTGAGACTGGGTGTGGTAGCTCATGCCTGTAATCCCAGCACTTTGGGAGACTGAAATGGGCAGATCACTTGAGGTCAGAAGTTCGAGACCAGCCTGGCCAACATGGTGAAACCCTATCTCTACTAAAAATACAAAAAAAGAGAAAAATTAGCCAGGCATGGTGGCACCGCCCGTAGTCCCTGCTACTCAGGAGGCTGGGGCAAGAGGATCACTTGAACCTGGGAGGCAGAGGTTGCAGTGAGCTGAGATGGTGCCACTGCACTTCAGGCAACAGAGCAAGACTCAGTCTCAATTTAAAAAATGAATAATAATAACCTTGAGTCACCATTATGCCAGATAAATGAGTGACATCGTTTGACTTAGAACACAGGACTGAAGACCGCCCCATCACATGTCCTCAGCATTGCTGTATATTGTGCCCTCCCTCCACATCCTCCCCAAGCCTCCCTGCCTGGCTAAAATGGCTCTCACAGCTTCCCCTCTCTTTCTGTCATCGTCTTGGACTGCTGCCCAATTCCTGGCCCCCACTTTCAAGGGTGACCTTATGGCTGGAACGAGGACTGGAGAGGAGCCCATGGGGCAAGGCCAGTATAGCTTCAAGGAGTGAATCCTGGAAATAAAGGTAAGTTCATTTAACCTATTAATAGTTTCAATAAAATGCTAGATGGACTGGAAGGTCCGACCCAATGCCTTGAATGAGGTTTGTGTGTTATCAATACATTTAAGTAACTGGTAATATCTTTATGCTGCTATCATTATCAGAGAACCCAGCTATATTTAAGCAAATTGGCTTACTTTGAGGTGATTTTATGTGTGGTTGATGAAGCCAAAACAGCCATCATCAGACATAAGTATTTCAGCTGTAAGGAGGAAAGTTTCCGACAACCTTCTTGAGACAACAAGAATAAATCAATACCACACACCTCGAACTTTACCCATCATTGGTTAAGATGGCTCAGTTCAAGCATTTTCTCTTTGACTTAAGATTTGCACTGTTTGGTGGCTTCCTTGTCTTTTAATAAGCCACTTTAAAAAAGTTATAGGCTGGGCGCAGTGGCTCACGCCTGTAATCCCAGCTCTATGGGAGGCCAAAGCAGGCAGGTCACTTGAGATCAGGAGTTTGAGACCCTCCTGGCCAACATGATGAAACCCCATCTCTACTAAAAATACAAAAATTAGTTGGGCATGGTGGTGCACATCTGTAATCCCAGCTACTCAGGAGGCTACTTGGCACAAGAATCGCTTGAACCCAGGAGGCAGAGCCATCAGTGAGCCTTAACTGTGCCACTGTACTCCAGTCTGGGTGACAGAGCGAGACTCTGTCTCAAAAAAAGTAAAACAAAAACAGTTATTAAGGTGGCTTCTAAATATTAGATTTTATAATAGCTAAAACTAATTGGCCTGAAAGGTTTTTTTTTTTAAAGTGCATGCTGAAAAACCGCATTGTGATATTTGAAAGTGCTTCAGAATTAAGAAAATAGGAACGTTAAGTAATAAAGTAGGTATAACTTTTGAAACACTTGAAAAAACAACCCAGTTAGCCATATAAACATTTTCTTCACCCACAATCACACATATCAAATTGGAAGTGGATATATAGGTATCAATATCACAACCACCCAAGCCCCAAATCCAAACATCATTTCCAAAAGCAAAAGAAAAAGGATTCCTTCTCCATATGGTACTGGGTCTTAAGGCTGGAATCTTTTGAGAGAAGAGTCTTGCGCTGTTGTTTAAACAACCTTTATTACCTGCCTCTGACATTCCCCAGGGTTACAGAGCAGGGCACATCTGAGTGTCAAGTACCATGGATGAAGCAGACACTGCAATAACAACTGAATCAATACAGAGAGGCATTTGAAGTATTGGGGTAATCCACCCAGTAATGATAACCGTCAGCAGAAGTTGGCAGAGTTACCAAAAATCAGGCAAGTTACCACTGGGATGAAAACTGGGGAGGCAAGAAAACCATACAGTTGGAGTCAGAGATCTTTTCCCTCACCGTTGAACACTCCTCCCCGAACAGTCCCCCATTAAGTCCATTCTATCCCACAGACTGGTCCTAGTGTCCTGCTAGCTCCCTGCTGAAAGAGAGAGAGAGGGGAAAGATATCTGAGGTCTCTTCTTTTTCTTTGTCTCTGTCCCTAAGGCAACTGGGAGCTGGAGCCGCTGCAGTCGGCCTGGCAAGCCCGTTGGCTCTGCAGTGAGCAGTCCCTGGCAGTCCCTGGAGCAGCTGCCAGTTAGACGGCCCAGAGTTCTGATAGAATGCATTGCTTCAGCTCAATGCCAAGTGTTGGACGTGTTGGATTCAGTTCCCAGAGGGCTGGAGCATGCTGTCAGGGCTGTCTGAAGACAAGAGAGCAGAGGCAGTTTAGTGCACTTGGGAGTGTGGGGTGGAGGTGGAGGCGCGGGGGTGAAGAGGGAGAAACTGGCCAGGAATGGGTAAGGTGGTGCTTCTCCTTCCAGGGCCTTCCAGACAAGGTCTCCTGGCCTCTCACCATTATCTGGGCCTCAGGTGAGGCAAACCCTGGAAAAGAGTGCTGGGTGGAAGGCGGAAGCCGCGCCCAGGGATGAGCGAGTTGAGGAGGGCGCAAACCAGAAACCTGTGGTTGTGGTTCTAGACCCGCTCAGCGCCCTGGGCGAGGGCAGGCAGCCCCCCTGGGGCAAGCTGGTGGCGGCCCTCGGCCAGGGAGCCCGCGGCAGTCTCGGCGTCGGCGGCTGGGGCGCCTCCCGGGGCCCATTCGTGCTCGGCGCAAGCCTGGGACGGCTCGTCCTTGGCCTCGACGAGCTTACGGGAGCGGGTGTAGGCCAGGATGAGGCCTCCGGCCAAGCAGGCGTAGAAGATCATGATGAGCAGGATGTAGAGATAGGCGTCGTCGCTCTTGGCGCTGGTCACCTCGCGGCCCACGAAAGGGTCAGGCACGACCCCCATGCCCATGCTGGGACCAGGGCCAGCGCCCAGGCCGCTGGTGTTACCCCGATGGTGCAGCTCGAGCAACAGGCGGCTCAGAAGGGTTCGCAGCCGCTGGCTCTCGCTGCAGTTCATGGCTTTCGGGGAGTGACACGGAGGCTCCAGGACGCTGCTGACCTTTCCCCCTGGGCGAGGGGAAGCGAGCTAGCGAGCGGGCCGGCCGGCGGGCAGGGCTCAGCGGTGGCGACGGCGGTGGCACCCAGCTCTCCGGCGGGCGCGCAGTGGCTGGGGGCGCCGACCGCGGGGCCTCCTTATTCCCTCACTCCCGCCCCTCCTCCCGTCCCCACCACGCCCCCTCCAGCCCGCGGCCGCCTCTTCCCAGGCTCTGGCTGTCTCGCTGCTCCAGGGAAAGGGGACAGCTGGTGGGGGGGGGGGAGGAGAAGGGGACAAGAGTGGGGGCGAGACCGGCAGACGGGTGGAGGGGGCGGGGGCTCGGAATGCGCGAGGCCCCAGGCAGCAGAGGCTGGCAGGGCAGCTTGCTGGGGCCAAGCCTGGACCCTGGGCTGCGGAAGAGAATTCCTTCCAAGTTCTGGCCACCTGCCCTGCAGGCCAGGCTTTGGCCCAGATACAGCATTTGGCCCCCTAAGGCAGCTCTGCCTTGGGGTGCTCAAGGGAGACGGCAGATGCCTTTCCGCAGCGGAGACCCCCTTGTCCACATCTTATGGAAGTTACACCCATATACAAGGACCCTGGCCTACCTTTCCAGTCCTCATTCCGTTCCTTTTTCCCCGCTCCCTTTCCCACACCCCTCCTACCCTGTGGGAGAAGAGCATCTTACTCAGAAGATGCACAGGCTGAATTTGGTGACTGAATGCTCAGGCACTTGCTAGAAGGCCAAGGCAGAAGTAGAACTCCCTGGTTATCCAAAATGGTTTCTGGTGATATAACAGACTTCTTGGATGCACCCCTGCTCTGATGTCCTATGACACTTTTTGAAAGGTCCACACATCTTAGCATATGAATGTACTATTCATAATGGGACCCTGTTTCCCTTGGGTAAGCCATCTTCCCAGAAGCGAAACCAACTTCTTCCAATAAGAGTAGCATGCACATTAAAAAAAAAAAAAAAAAAAAAGCCCTCAGGATCTGAAAATTGCCAGTTCTAGAGAATATGCTCACCCTACTCCCAGCTAGGCCAGCACACAGCTATGTGCCTTTCTAAACCTTGATAATAGGTCTAGGCCCGAATGGCTTTTGGGGCAGCCATGTTTTTCTCAAAGGCTATTTTTTTTAGGGGAAAACAAGGTACCAAGACAAAGATCAGGCCAGATATATTAAACTGGTAACAGACTGAGCATTGCAAAGGAAAAGGGTTGGTTTGTAGATGGTGGGGTAGAAAAAATGAGGTAGTGCTGGCTAGGTCTGGCTGTCCATAGTTGCCAAATGAGAGCAGAAAGAAAGAAAAGTATGTGACCTTATGCACACCTTGAAAATAATGCTGCCTGTTCAAGACTGTTCAGTCCAGGGACCATTCAATCTGTAGGTGCCATGGGTTTAAAAAGGAAGGTTTTCCGTTGCCCCTTCCCCAACCGTTCTTCAGCCCACCATCTACCCAGGGGCTGTAGCCTCCTGTGTGTTCAGGCAAGGTTGGCACCAAACTGTATCCAGGGTCTCAAATAGAGCCTTGCCTCACAGCCTCTAAACAGGCCTTGAAGGCATTCCACATGACCCTGACGCTGGCTCCCTTCTAATCACCTTGTCTCAATATTCTCACCTCGGAGGGGCTCAAGAAAGAATTGTTAAAGCAGCTTGGCAGTATGAATGCCAGAGGACACAGCCAGAGAATTTTCAAAGCAGTACTAACCTAGTGATATGACTATTGAGCTAACAGACTCCTCTTGTATGTTATAACAGGAGTCCCCAACCTCCCAGGCTGCTGAATCCTGGTCTGTTAGGAACCAGCCACACAGCAGGAGGTCAGCAGAGGGCAAGCAAGCATTATCACCTGAGCTCCACCTGCTGTCAGATCAGTGATGGCATTAGATTCTCAGAGGAGCTCGAACTGTACTGTGAACTGCGCATGCCAGGCATCTACGTTGCATGCTCTTTATGAGAATCTAATGCCTGATGATCTGAAGTAAAACAGTTTCATCCTGAAAATATCCGTCCCTCCCCAATGTCCACAGAAAGATTGTCTTCCACAAAACCAGTCTCTGCCAAAACAGTTAGGGACTGCTGTGTTAAAAAATACCTAGAAATAGCTAGGGATTTTTTTTTTTAGAGGAAAGGAGGAAGAAGCCCCATTACTCTAACATAAAAATAATAATTTAAACTTGTTTTCTAATTTCAGCAACCTTATGAGCTAATAGGATTCTCATTTTCCAGAGAGGAAACTGAGGATCAGACTGGTTAAGTAGAAGGACTGGAATTATAAAGTTGGACCTTCTTCTTCTTAGTTCTAACACATTACTTGTGTCACGTGGGTGGCACTCATGGGCTACCTCAATTTTCCCACCTCTCCTTCCTCTTGAACCTTCTAGAGTCCAGTGCTTTCTGCCAAAACTGCTTTCTATAAGTCAGTTCACCAGTGACCTCTTGGTCAAATTCAAAGGTCTCTGCTCCCTTTGCATCTTTGACCTTGAGGATGAATTTAATACCATCAACCACCCACTCCTTCCTACCATTGGTTCTCGTGGCATTGCATTCCCACGTCTCTCTTATCTCTCTGACCCATCACTCTCTGTCTCCTTTGCTGGCTCCTCTTCTTTCTTCCTCCCATTAACTGTTGGACTCCCCAAAGATTCAATCCTCAGCATTCTCTCTTAACACCCTTTTCTTTGAAGAGTATCTCTTTACATGGTTTCACCTGCCACTTGGCATATATTTAGCCAAATTTGAATCTCTAGCTCTGATTCTTGGTAGCGTGTCTCAGATCCTTTGTTCCTTCCTTTCTGGTTTTATTGACGCAAGCTTAATCCATGTTCTCATTACCTCATGTCAAATATGCAAACAGAGAATCTCCTGGCAAATCTCCCTGCCTATAGCTGAACTTATCATGCTATGGCTAGAATAAATCTACAACACCACTTCCATCCATTCAGCCCTATGTTCAGAAACCCAAGAGTTGGTCTTCATTGTTTCTTTAATGGAGTTCAGTCTTCTTCGGTGGAACTTAAGTCCTCTCCACCAATAGACACCATGTTCTCCCCTTTGAATTTGAAAAACAGCACCTTCCTGGAGTTCCTCTGATACTCTGTACATTTTGCCTTCCTCAGAATTCACTGATTGAAAGAAGCCTTACTCTATCCCCCTGTTTGTGCTTTCAGATTCTTCATAATGTACCCTTCTGAGCTTTACTTTTGCAGCATTCAGTGGAAAACACAAAAAAAGCAACAAGAAACATTTTGGAAATCTTGGAAAACAAAAAACCGACAAGAAAAAGAATAAAAAATTACCAGTAGTGCATACTCATGACTCTCTCTATCTCTCATTTCATGGCGTTTCTTTTTCACTTAACAATGTATTATAAATTTTTCCACGTCATGTACTATTTCTCCATAGCATTATTTTATTATCTACATAGTACTCTAGAATATGGATCTACCATAATTTATTTAAGTTTCCCATTTATTGTTTAAGAGTTCTATTTTCAGGTTTTATTATGAAAAATCATGTTTTAATAAACACATACAATGCTAATTATCGTTTTATTAAAAGAAATCATTACCAGAGAGAAATCAATGAACTAATTTACAGAAGAATGCTATGGGGAGGGATAGATGTGCAGAAGCGGGTGGAAACAGAAATGGAGAACAGTCATAAATTTTAAAAAGACCCATCACTCTAAGAAAAAAACAACAGGCGTGGGGCGGAGGGGATTCTGGCTTTCTTTTACACTAGGGCCTGCTGGGCATCCCTTTAAATTTCAGTTCCAGACCTGCCCAGAATGGCTGAGATGCCAACCCCTTTCCCTACCACATTTAATGAAACTGCAAATCCACCAGATGGGCACTGGTTCTCATTCCTCACCACCCCTCCACCCCCATTTTCCACCAGCCCCATACCTGTCAAATAATCATCTGTTTATCCATCGCCTAGAACTCATTTCCAAAATGGTAATCAAGTGTGTTGACAAAGGGAAGTAATTCACAATCATGTATTTAGACTTTCAAAAACTCTCAGGGAAGGTTCTCTTTCATGCCAAGGTTGTTTTAAAAGTACAATTGAGGCGCCATGGATAGGAAATGCTTTCGCCATTCCTTAAGACTGTGAGTGCTTCCTGCCAACAGTGCAGTTCTATGGAACTTGGTTGAATTGAACTGAGTTGAGTTTGGCTAGTTGCCAAAGGACAGACACAGATGGTAAGCACTGTCGGAGTCCAGGAGGCTGGCAAAGCCACAATGGGCTCTAAAGGAGAGAAGGAAAGAAGGCTTCACGAGGCACCAACTAAAGACTGAGAAAGAATCATTCATTCATTCATTCATTCAACAAATATTTATTGCATGTTACTTTGTGTGAAACACTGTGCTGGGTCCTAGAGATACATCGGTGAGCAAGTCACATCAGTGAACAGTCTGTGCTTTTGTAACTCTCACAGACACTTCTTTGTGAACTAGAGACAAATGGGGAGTGCCAGGACGTGGAGCTGGGTAAGTAGTGGGCAGGAAGACCAGCCAGAATTCTAGTTTGGAGAGAATTGAGACTCTGGGCCCAATCTCTAAGCACTAGAGTCCAAAGCCTTGTTTGGAAAAAGGAAGACTCCAGGTGGTCTGAGCTCACTGTCTCTGGCTATGTGGCAACCTGCTCTGCCTCCTCCCAGCAGCACCATCTTGAGAGTATGGTTTGTCATAAGCTACCACAGCAGGTCTGTTCTCAAAAGACTGATGAGAATAAATTAGACAGTTCCTGAATCCAACTGAGGCTTCTCAGTTGTTCCATGGGAATTTACACAGCATGTTAGACTAACTGGGGCTTGATAAAGATCACAATATTTGTAGGTTGGAATGGGCCTCAGGAGCTTCAAATGCCTTACTTGGAGACTTCTTGAAGATCTTCATGGGCTTGTGCTGATATCCTTCTATATTCAGGCTACATACTGGAGCATCAAATTTGGTCCCTGATTTCATTTATCAAGTATCTATCCTGTGCCACATACATTACCTACATTATACTAATTAACATTATAACAACCTTATGAGGTAGGCAGGGATGGATTCAACAGCAGTGTATCTTCAATGCTGGCCAATCAGAATGGACTAACAAACCATCAGAATAGATGTTGACTGTGAACAACAAGTATGG